AAAAAATGTCTTATCAGTAAGACAGCTATAAACTGCATGTAGCATCTCATCTTTATCATGCACACATGATGAATGGATCACATTTAAAAAACGATCAAGCCATCTCCATCAGATTACTCCTGCTCTTGAATCAATGCTTCACCATTTCAGAATTAGCAGCAACAGCCCTCAGTCAGAAGTCTGCTTAGTCATCCTGAGCCAGGAGAGTAGCATTTATGTAGAAAGAAAAATGGGAAAAATAACTACACATGTAAATTTTAAATGTTTCCCTAGACTGTGTAGGCAGCTCCAGATTACACACACAGATGCTGTCTCGCCTGAACAACGTCCTTCTGGATCTGCTTAACGATAAATGTAAATTTCTCAGGATCCAGAGGAACTCCCAGCTGTTACCTTGCGGATTATAGAAAGTGCCTCAGACGAAAGGAAACGCGGGTACCGGACTTCATCATTGACAATACTGTCAAAGACTTCTTCCTCATCATCTCCAGGGAATGGTGACTGCAATTGTGAGATTTTTGTTACTTAACCCACATAGCACCTCTTTCTTACTACAAAATAAGAGATGAGAATAGGCAGAGTTGTAGGGATTAACAAGTGGCAGAAAATATAAGCGAGAGAAAATGTGGTAAAACACTAAAAGTTAAAACAAAAAGGCCAAGGGTAAGACTGGGAATATCAGACTGCTAGAGCTGTTTTCAAAAAAATCATATAGAGGAGTAGAAGACTCATAGTTTGAATGCATGAGGAGCTCCCAACTATGCCTGAAGTTATTTTAAACGCTGAATAGCTGTTGGCCACTTCCACCAAATTTTTACCTCACATGATCAGGTACAACCCCAAGATTGCTTGGTGAAGCTCCATTAAAGAAAGGTGGTCTTACCTCACCAACAAGCATCTCATAAATGAGTACACCCAATCCCCACCAGTCTACTGCACGGGTGTACGAGACGTCTGTCAGGACTTCTGGAGCCAAGAATTCCGGAGTGCCACAGAAGGTGTTTGTATGGTCTCCAAAACCCATTCCTGTTGGGGGGGAAGTGTGGTAAAATCCAGCAGAAACACGCAGTCCTATCCTTTGAAAGCCACATTGATAAACTAATGCTTAGCCCTTAGCTGTGCAAGAGCTCTTTATCTATTCTGGTAAATGTCATTTAGACTCCCAATGGAGTCCCAACAATAACACCTCTGAACCCAAAGTAAGAAATATACAGGCACTTCAAAACAAACAAACAGTGAAGCTTCCTGAAGACTCCACTGCTCACTCACAAACACATCTTGTATTACTCTACATCCTGGCTCCTTCTGGAAAAAAAATGTATATTGTAAACTCCTTGGTAAGTTGCCCGAAGAGCAGAGACAAAAATATTCTTTCGCAGTTCATTATGACCAGACAGATAAGATTCCTTTAGATAAACACAACACTTAAAGAGGGCCACCTCCATATTTGTACTTGATAATGCACTACTAGAAGACTGCAGATCCTAAATGTCATCCTGACAGTTCAACTTGGGATTCACCAGAATGACTCACCTTCCTTACACAGTCCAAAATCTGCAATTTTCACAAAGCCATCAGCATCCAGGAGTAGATTATCTAATTTCAAATCCCTATGGGCAAAGAAAGGGAAATAAAACAGGAGATCAAGTCTGGAGATGGCCATCCAACTAGTTTGTGCTTCCTGCGAAAAAGGCAGATGTTAGTAAAGAGACGTAAGTTAATTAAATAGTATTTGAAAGATTCCACCTAAAAAGCTATTTTACTAGCATCTGCCTCCTAATGAAAGGCTCATAAAGCAACTTAGAGCTACATGGGACTTACTCATCTGCTAAAAGGGCATCTCACAGTAACAGGAAAATTACTCAACTGTCTCAATCCAAAAGAAAGCAATGGCTTACGGTTGTCCCCAGAATGTACTGACTTATCACAGAAGATGAATCACCTGCAACACGTCAGATGAAAATCTAGATGACTTTCTTTACCATAGGTAATGAATACACAAATGATGAACATGCACTGATAGTAACAGGAGATGGGGAAGGTAAACAGACAGAAGGATCAGAAACTCTAGAAAGACAGTGAGATCCAAATATGTAGCTGCAGGAAAAATAAACTTTCGGGTTGCTGAAATGTCCTGTACTTGATTCTTTGCTGCATTACCTATAAACAATTTTCTTCCCATGCAAGAACTGGAGTCCCAAGACTACGCAGGCCGTATAAAACCTAAAAGAAAAAAGTAATAGTTACAAGGAAAGATACATGTGAATCAAGTTTAAAAAATTACAGTGCCTGTAACAGTAGATGAAGTCTGACTCACCGAGCCATGTGCTCTGGAAAGATATCTTCATGTATGCGCATCATAAGATCACCACCTGGGGTATATTCCATCACAAAACAAGCATGATGAGGTGTCTGAAAACAGGCAAACATATTCACAAGGAACGGATGATCAGAAGAATTGACGACTTCGAAGATTCGCTTCTCGCAGTTCAAGCTGCCAGGATACAAAGAATGAAAATGACTGTTAAGCCTTGGCAGAAAGTTCTGATTTGAGAAAGACAGAACGACGAAGGAAATCTTTACACCTTATGCTGCAGATATAACAACAA